CATAATAGAAAGGTTCATGAAGAGGTTGGATGACTATTATAATAGAAGTAAGAGGTAGACATTTCTGCACTGGGGGGAAAGTTGGACTAGTTACTAGCTATAGGTTCTTGGAAAGCAGTGGTCCTTGGCAACACTCATGGGGCACAAAGCAAAACTCTAGTGATACATTTTGACTTTTTACTGTAGCATAATCTATTCTATACTAACACATAGTCTTTGGTTTTAGTTTTGGATAGGAATTTAATATCCCATGTGTCCTAAGATAAGTTAATTAACTTTTCTGGCCTTGATTTGCTTATTATAATAATTGAGGGCTTAAATAAAATAATTCCCAAAGTTGCATTTACTCAAAAATGACATAACGTGATTCTGTGACTCAAGGAAATTCTCTGGGGAAGTGGTGGTATTAGCCTTCACAAATGTGCAGGTGTAGCTATTTGGGTCAATAACCTATCACCCACTATGGGCAGAGGGTTGTTTTTCTAGAAGCTGTCTTTGGAGATTTCAGTTAGAAATGACATCATGCCACAACATTTTTTGAGAGAGTCAATACCCAGAACTATCCTGAAATGTTACAGAATCTTACTATTGTACCCAACATGGAAAATTTCCTTTATCTGTGGGAGGAGAATGATAAATACCAATTATTGATTTTTTTCTGTTCCAGGTACTCCACAAACATTATCACACCAAGTACCCTACCCTCCTATGTAACTACCTATGTATCTATCTATCTATCTATCTATCTATCTATCTGTTTAATCCCAGGAGTTGATGATATTATTTTCCCAGCTAAACAGTTTCTCTCAGTTTCTGAAGAAACTGAGGCTTTCAGAAAATAAAATACCTTCCCAACCAATTAGCAGTGCTAGGATCTAATCCCAGGTTTGTCTGAGTCCAAAGCCTAAGTTCTTAATCTCTAAAATACTTCTGGATAGTTTATATGGGGAAAACTTTGTAAGTACAGTACTGCAGATTTAGTCCCATCCTCTTTTATACATGGATAAATTAACCTCTTCTACCAAATTCACTCTGTGTCTTTCAATTTTGGTCACATATTGACTTTACCAAAATTATTTCTTGAATCTTTTTTAAAGTTCCTCTCCAGTTTCAAGAAGGTTCTCTGTAGGTTTTCTCTTTATTGCTCTTTTTTTTCACATTTGTCTTCCCACTCTATTACTTCATATATAATATACATCTGTGATCGTCTCTTACTCTGTCTATAATTTTAAGTTTCCAGTTCCAAATAACAAGCAAAGCAGTACTAAATTATAAGCTGTGTGGGTTTCTATCACTGTGCGAAAGGCATGTTATTTTGTATTTTTACCTTTCACTACAAAAAATTAAGCAACACAGATTGAACTATTCCTAATCAAAACATTACCTGTTCTTTCATATCTATTTTTTGCATCTTTTCTGACACACTCCTGACATTCTTTTCCTAGTGCCATTAACCTTGACTCTGTTCTCTACCTGCTTTATAAGAATGTACAGTACAGACTCTTGGCCAGCTAGAACATTCTCAGTATAAAATATCTGAATGAAAATAATTTTTAAAATGTATAAAAGGTAATTCTTTCTGTAATGTAATATCAAGAATACAAATGGTTATCTCATTACTCAATAAATCTGAAATCACAATGGTAATAATGTCAAAATAATACCAAGAAAACAGTAAAATAAGATGGCAGACAAAAAATACTTCATTTAATCCAACTTTGAAAGGTTTAAATCCCCTAAGGGCTCAATACTTTGCCTACAAGTCCTTACAAACTTTGATTAAGAGGAACTTTTCCTCGCAAAACAGCAATTTTATAGCATTTTGTTTGTAGTGTACATTGTGGTAATCTCTCCAACAGTTCTTCCACCTCATTTCCTTGTGTTGCTGCCAGTAACCACAACTCCACAGAGTTGTGGCCACAGAGGTGGCCCATCATTGTTTAACCCAATCAGAGTAATCTCATTTTTCTTGACATAGTGGATCCCATAGCAAATGGACTGGATCAACAATGAACATGTGACACAATTAAGGTCAATGAGACCTAAGGACAAGTTAACTGAAGAGTTCTGAGGGAGACACTTCTCATCTTTCTCAGAAAAAGAAAGAGTTTTCAGAAGCCAAAAATTTCTAATTTGGGATGCTGTGGACATGAACACTAGAACAGTTCTAGCCATTCTGCCCCATGAGGGAAAGCCAACCTCAGAATAAAGCTGATCCCACACAAAGCAAATAGAAACATACCAAGTCTGGAGCTTGTTCTGAGATGCATTTTCCACTTATGTGAGCCAATCAAGCCTATTTCTTTTTTAAATCAGTTTGGATTGGGTTTTGTACTACTTGAAACACACATAATGAGCCCTAATTGATATGTCAGTCCTTTTGTTTCTTAATTTTCCTATTTTTCTAATAATGCACAAGTATATCCATGTATTATTATAATCAAATCTCAAAGTCAGATAATTTAGATCATATCTCAAAATCAGATACTTTAGAAGAAAGGAACTTACAGGGCTGTTTTAGGAAACTAATAATATTGAACTTTGGGAGTCAAAGAAACCTTGAGAGATTATGTGAAAGGTCTTTGAAATACATAAAGCATACCAATAACAAAAGATAACCATTGCTCCTGAATTCTAATACATTGCAAAAGTGTTATCAAATCCTTGGTTCACTTGTATTATTTTTATTTATTGTTAATCCAAGCTCTCTTCATTAAGCCCCTAGTGACTGACTTGATATGTAAAACTCTCCAATGGCATTTTCTGCCTGATGCATCAAGTCAAACAATGCTGTGTAACTCTCAACACCTTTCATAATCTGGGTTCCCTCTGCTCTCCCTACTCTACCTACATATGTCAGCACTCGCCCACTTGCACCTGCAGCTGCAGACTCTTCACAGCTTTGCTGCTCCTCTCCTCTCCATCTACATATATTCCATCTTAGTTTCTGCATCTGTGCTTTTTGGTCAGGCCCTTCCCCATCCCCTCCAAGAGTGGAACTCTTCTCTATACATAAGCTCTACCACAGGATTTGGTTCTTTGGCTCTGATTATACTTTATTGTGTATTCACTTCTAACGCTTCAGTTTTCTCTGTGATTAGGTTGTCAGATACTTGAGAGCAAGTGTTGATATTTATTTCTATTATAACCCCCGTAAAGCTTCAAATACTGTGTAGCAGAGTAGATATTAAATGAGTATGTACTTGATTAATTAACCATATTTTTACTTTTTGTCTTACGGATTCTGTTGCATGCATCTAGAAAAAGATTTTAAATGGCTGGGTTGCCTTAGGGCTGCCAGATTTAGTAAATAAAAATATAAAATGCCCAGTTAAATTTTAATTTCAAAGAAATAACAAACTGTTTTGTGTTTTAGTATAAGTATACCCAATGCAATATTTGGGATAGAATTATACTGAAAAATGGCCTGTTTTTTAGTTTAAAATTTAAACTCTACTGGATGCCCTTTATTTCATCTGGCAATTTTAGACTGACCTGACCTAAAAAAAACAAAACTTTGTGCTTAATTTCTTAAATTAGAGCTAAATGTCACATTTATGAATTGCTTAACCTTATATAGTCTTACTAATCAAGTCCTATAGTACATGAAGTTCTCTGCATTGTTTCATCTAGCAGCAATAACACATAGATTGAGTATCCGTTATGTGAAGGTCACCATGTATCCTCCTGTACAGGGAGGCAAAGATGAATAAGAATGAAAGATTCATCTAAGATGAATAAGATCTTTCCCTCTACCCTCAAGTAGTTCATAGCCTGGTGGAAGACACAGCCCATTTCAGTCCAGCCTCCACTTATGTGCAATCTGGATGTTAATCCATATGGCCAAAATTTTTTTAGGTCTAACTCAGCCCTCCTGGGCAAAGATTCAAGATGACACTATACACATAGGTTGTCAAAAATGAAGGATATTGGTTTTGAAGTACACATTAAATAGTTCCTGTCTCTGAAGTGTTATATAAACACTGTAATCCATCATCCTAAATGAAAACAATTATTCAAAAATCCTTTTGATCAGAACATTTTACTCTGCTTTTGATATTAAGTTAGTTTTTATGATGGGAGATTTTTTTTTCTGGTTCTTGGATATTTAACATGTATTTTTTTTTAGCGTAAGCAATGGAAATGTATTGCATGACATTTTCCCCCTCTTAGCCATTAAGTTCTTCACGGGTGAATGCCATTCCAGCTACTTAATCTGAGTCACTTATTTAGGTGAACAATAGGATCCAATGATTTAGATTTTGAACCTTCTGCTGTGTGGCCTTAGTCTGCTTTAGCTAATCTCTCCAGTGTTTTCTGGTCATGGGACACATTTTCTTTGCATAGCACAAAATCATAATGGCAGTGTGTATGTATGTGTGTGTAAAGTTTGACATTAGTTAAAAAATTTTAGCTACACTATATTTATAAGTTGTATGCCATATAAATTCAGTGATGTTTGTAATAACCAAAGATTTCAAATTCTAGAAATAACAGCATATTTTTCATAATAGTATACTTGACTCTTTGTGTGTGTGAGTGAGTGTGTGTGTGTGTGTGTGTGTGTGTGTGTAAAAGCATTTCTTAGACTTGCAACATATAATTCAAGGCTTTAAAACAATGTCACCTTAACATACAACATACAAATTTTCAGTTCTGGAATAAAGAGTACCATATTTTCCCTTTCTTTTCTAAACAGAAGCTATTGATCTCAACCCACCAACCTGTTATTTTCTTGGAGATCATCTTCAGTTAAAATAAAAAGGCATATTACATAAAATGATGATTTCAATGGAGTTCAATTGGTTATTGGCATATTACATGAAGTTGCAAATGGAGTCGCATTAAAAGGTAATGAGAATATTGGGAAAAGTTATATTAATTTGAATGATTTGTCAATTATCTAGATAGAAGGCTGTAGTTAGCATTATCATTATGCCAAATCTCTGGAGTTATGAAATACTCATTTGAAGTACATATTTTAGGTTGTCAAAAATTACCTTTGGTAGCTCTTCAATTTGATTGGCATCTAGGTAAAGTTCCTCTAATGTCCGTTCAAAGTTAAAGACCTCCTTTGGCACCTGCTGAAGGCTGCAGTGGGAGTAATCTAAAACTGAGATGATTTCTTCTTCACCTCGGAAACATCGGCACGGCACCAGACGGCCGATGATTTTCCGCTTGGTGGTCATCTCCAGGCACTGCACTAGAGAAAAACAGAAAAAAAACCAACTGCTTTACTACCTGCCTTTGGAAGGCATTCTTATAATATTTAAAGCTTAGAAATTTACTTATGTTGTATATTTTATAATTATATAATGCCTTAAAGAAGTTTACATAAGACATGCACATGCAATAGATCATTTAATCCTTAAACAGCTCTCCAAGGTATGTAAAGACATGTTCTTATTCCCATTTAACAAATAAAGAAATGGATTCAGAAAGGGTCAGAATCCCATCATCACACAGTTTTGGAATGGCAGAACTGGGCCAGAATACAATCCTGACTTAGCGCAATGCTTACACTCACACTTGAAACATGGAACTATAATATGTTTTTTTTTTAATTTTATACAAATTGCAGTGCAGAACAGAAACCTCCAGAATTTGTTGGAAAAAAACACATTTCTCTCATTTCTGCAAAATAGTCAAGTTTTACCCATAAGGTTTATGATATCCTCTTTTTGACTCAAATTTATTCCATTAATCAATAATTATTTATTGGGCTTCCCTGGTGGCGCAGTGGTTGAGAGTCCGCCTGCCGATGCAGGGGACACGGGTTCATGCCCCGGTCCGGGAAGATCCCACATGCCGTGGAGCGGCTGGGCCCGTGAGCCATGGCCGCTGAGCCTGCGCGTCCTGAGCCTGTGCTCCACAACGGGAGAGGCCACAACAGTGAGAGGCCCGCGTACAGCAAAAAAAAAAAAAAAAAAAATTATTAAGTAACTAATATGCTCCAAGCATTGAACTAGGTACTGGGGATAGAGATGAATTGAACAAAGCTCCTATTGGAGCTACAGTTGTATTGGTTATTCACTTCAGAATAAGAATCTGTCCCTATGAATCCTTTCATTTTAATGGGAGAAAACAATCATGGCAGAAATTTCTGACATCCTGGCATGTCTTTCTCTAGGTAAAAGTGACCAAATGCCATGAAATCTTGCACAAAATTGGTATCATGGCATCTATAACACTTTATTAAAGTTACTGTTTTTCATGTCATTCTTTCCTTAGACTGCAAGGCTATTGAGGGTAGTAACTGTGCTTTGTTCATTTTTACATTTGTATCGGTTCTTGACATATAGTAGATATTCAATAACAAATATAAAATGAACAAATCAGTTCATGAATGAATAGATGGATACATTTGGGACTCTCTACACAACCATCAACAGATACTGATAATTTGCTTGAAAAATTTCTCATTCTAACTAAAATGTCACTATCTCTGTGAATGTCTCCCCAGGATAAATGAATAGCATCTTCCTCTGAGCTCCCAGGGCACTAATCACATTGCTTCCTAATTATGTGTACTATTTCCTTGTGTACTGGGTGAGTTCTTGAAGGAGAGGATCTTGTCTTATTCATCTTTGAATTCACAATAACAGTACACAGTTTGCCATCTGCAGAAATAGTACTGAATGAGCATCAATTTGAAACTCGCATTTTATTCATTGATTTGTTTTTACTTATCAGCATAAACTTATTGCCGAAACAGAAAGTAGTGATAGTTCACAAAAATAATATAGCATTTTGTTTTGAAATGGCTTAGATTAAATCAAATTTGGAGGCAAATAATACAATATGCTTAAGAGATGTTGAAAGTGCAGCCCAAAGCCATTTTTATTCCTCCTTTTACTTGTGAAATTAATAAAATTATATTTTGGGACAGGTTCATGAGTCAGCTCTTACAGAAGGTTATAAGAACATGGTAATCTTTAGAAGGTTTAACTAAAAACATTAAGAAGATGGTCTTTCCTCTCCATTACTTTCTATTTCTTGAACTCCTACACTTCTCATTTCTGGGAGCTTGAATCACAAGGTTTTGTAACTTTTATTTTACTCGACTTTCCTTGAAAGCCCTGATTGTAGGTTGATCTCTACATGGGATCTAGCACATATCAAGCAGCCAGTAAATGCATCTAGTAAATATATGACATATATTAGGTACCTAGTTAATATTTGTTGAGGTTATTGCAGTTGTAAAGGTAAATGATGATGGCTTAGGCTATGATAGTGGCAGTGATGATGGGGAGAAGTGATAGACTGGAAAGGTATTTAAGAAGCAGAATCCAAAGTGTAGGTAATGGATTAGATGAGAGGTGGAAGGGGTGCTGTGGAGAGAGGGAGAAGTCTTGAAAAATTCCCAGGTTTTTAATTTATCACTAGTAGCCACATTGACTACCCAGCTGTGATGCCATCAAGCTGACTCAAGGTGTGTATCCTGTCTGTCTCTATGACTCACAGGTGAGGAATCAATTGTTCATATGTTGTTTTTGCCCAGTTCCTTGCACTCACCCTTTTGTGCTGAATCTTGTAGCTATTTCTTGATATCCATCTGTTGCTGCAATTGCAAATTTTTTATTATGAAGAGAAAAAAGAGAATATCCAGGCCTGGACCTGAACCATTTGGCCAGAGAGTCCCCTGTCCCCTAAGACTTTTGCAATTTAATTCACTTAGGACTGCTTTCCCTTTTTTTTTTTTTTTTTTTCCTTGCGTTATGCGGGCCTCTCACTGTTGTGGCCTCTCCCATTTGCGGAGCACAGGCTCCGGACGCGCAGGCTCAGCGGCCATGGCTCACGGGCCCAGCCGCTCCGCGGCATGTGGGATCTTCCCGAAACGGGGCACGAACCCGCGTCTCCTGCATCGGCAGGCGGACTCTCAAGCACTGCGCCACCAGGGAAGCCCTGCTTTCCCTTTTGTTGATCAAAAATGTAGGCTCTTCTGGTCATCTTTTCAGTCTCTTGTCTCATTCTTACAATGTGTTGAGCTTTCCCCCTGACCCAACTTCTCTTTCCTTCAATCCCACTAAACTCTGAAATTGTGCCTTATGTCATGATCAATAACTTCATTGATCCTCTCCACTGAAGGCTTCCTCCCCTTCATAGTCTCAATTAAAACTTGGTTCACTTATAGCCTTTAAAAGTGGAGCATGCTGATTTTCTCATACCTTAAACACTTCACGGTTAGAAAGTGGAATTGATATCCTCCCTTGCTCTCTAAAAATTATTAATCTTCTCTCATCCTAAAAAAAAGTCCTGCTCCTCTGATGGTCTCATTACCTGGTAGTAACATCTTTCTACTCTTTCATATCATTCATTACCACCTCTAGAACCCATTGATGACTTTGGTATCTGATTCATGGATTATCTCTCAAAGGGAACTCCTTCCATTCCTGATTTATGCTCCCTACACATTATAGCTTTCAACATTTTTTCCATCTTAAATTTCTAAGTAACTCGACTGTAGTGCTACTCCATTAATTTTTCCCTTGCAGATATCTAGGTAGTTTACCTTTTTTCTAACAAAGTTTCAATGAACTTCTAACCAACCAAAATATATATAGCAATTTTGTTTTAAACTAATAGTACTTATTTTATTATAGCTATAAATATCACTGTAATTCAGTCACATTTTATTTCTCCTGCATCTTATTGTTTCTTTAAAAATTGCCTTTTTTTTTTCCTTTGGTTTGTCTATGTGTCTTTCATTAATTCAATTTCCTATCTCCTCTTCTCTTGATATAGTGAAAAACGTGTAATCTGTCATATTTCCCCGTGGAATAATCTTTTAGGAGCACTATATCTTCTTGCTTCAGTCTGGAGTGGTCACTTTACTTTTCTAGACCTGATATAGGTGTGTGTGTGTGTGTGTGTGTGTGTGTGTGTGTGTGTGTGTGATCCTGGAATTTCTCTTCACTGTCATTCTGTGAATTTTATATTTCCTTCTGTTTTATTCCTACTTCTTGGACCCCATGTCTTTTCTTTCTAGACTTACTGGACTATAACACCCAATGGTGAAATATAACATCCAGTAACTTACTGAGAAAGAATCTACAGTAGGAACATTTCTGAGACATTTGCATATATGAACATGATTTCATTTCACCCACAAACAATTGAAAGTTTGGCTGGATATATACTTCTAGGTCAGAAATAATTTTCTTTATAAATTGGAAGGCATTTTTAAAGTATTATTTTCTAGCTTTTAAGGTTGTTGTCAGGAAATCCAGCTCTATTACTATTCAAAATCCTGTTTTACACCCACCTTCCCCTCTCCCAAAATATTTTAGAACTTTTATTCTTAGTCTTCTGAAATTTCATGACAATGTACTTTGATGTGTTTTTATCCATTGTACTGGGTACTAGATGGGCCCTTTCATGTTGGAAGCATTTATCGTTAAATTATGTTAAATTTTCTGTTATTATTTAATTGATGATTTCCTCCTCCTCTTCATTGTTTCTATTTTCTTTTCCTGTAATCCTGATTAGTTGAATGCAGGAAATGTCCAGTAATTTAATTATTTTTTCTGTTGTAATTTCCATGTCTTTGTTTTTTTATTTTATTTTCTGGAAGATTTTCTCAACTTCATCTTCTAAATACATCTCCTGTATTATCTTTTATTAGATAACATATTTTTATTGTCCAAAAATTAGTTGTTGCTTCCTAAATGCATGCTCCTTTTTAACAGTATCATGATTGTATTTCAGGGCGCCATATCATTTCATTTCTCTAAGAAGATATTAGCTATAGACTTTTTTTTTTGCCTTTTCCCCCTGCTCCTTGCATTTTTTCTGAGTTCCATTTTCTGTTTGTTTCTTTTCATCTTTATTTTTCATGATAGGGGTCTTCCACAAATAACTGGTGATCCCTGGCTGTCCTTCAATATTGAAGAGTGACTCTCTAAAGAACTAATTGGAAGCTTTGTATGCATAATAGGTATCACTGCAGGAGGACTGGCAGCTAGCCAAAGAATATTCTGGTCTTCAGCCTGAGGCATAGCTATGAAACAGGAGGGAAGGAGGCAGGGCAGAACCTTTAAAAGAATGACATAGCCATAGTACATGATGAAAACTAGTGAGAACCAACTAGGTACAAGATGGCGGAAGATTCAACTTCCAGTGGACCTTGAGCATAATTTTTCACTCATTATAATACATTAGCATGCTAAATGACACTCCCACGGGTGCCATGACAGTTCCAAG